CAGCAGTATCCATAAGAGGGTGTGCATTTCATTGGAGCCAAGCTGTGTATAGAAAGATTCAGGTAAGATGAATATGTTAATTTTGTTACAGTTTAGCTTTTATTATCTATATTTTTAGAATTTGGGATACAGTAAAGATTATCAATCAAATATGAATAATGGAAGGTCAACATTAAAAAAGATATTAGCATTGCCATTTCTTCCTTCTACTACAATACCAACAATCTTCAATTTAATTGAGAATGATATGGGAGCAAGAAACAAATATGCTGATTTGTTAGATTATGTTAGATCTCAATGGATTGAAAATTCAATTTGGCAACCTCAACAATGGTCTGTGTTTGGTTATAGTGTCAGAACAAATAATGAAGTTGAAGCTTGGCACAGAAGATTGAACAGTAAAGTCTTAGCCAAAGGCTCTTTTTACCAATTAGTAGATGAACTAAATAAGGAAGCTTCTCTTATTGATGTTTATAAAAAACTTTTATCTGAGAGAAAGTTGAAGAAACACCAAAAGAAAGAATATTTGAAATTACAGGTTAAAATATTCAATTATGATTTAGGATTAATAACAGCAATGGATCTATTGGAAAAAGTATCAAATATATATGTATCATAACTTTTTATATTAACCTCTCTTGTCTAGCCCTGTAGTTTAATTCTTGATATTTTTGGTGTAACTAATGTTGTTCATAAATCTTATAACTAAAGATCAAACAAATGTCTGCCAACTGCTTATACTGCCATCAAATGATTTGCCCACAATGACAATGGAGTTATGCTCTTTATGCAAACATGTTTTTCATCAGGATTGTTTGAAAGGTCAGTGTTATTGAAATCATAAACTTTTGCAATTTCAATTTAAAAAGTAAAGGACAAGACTGTTGTGATATATGCAAAGATATAAAAACAAGAACATGTCAGGTTCAGTTTGTTAAATTGCCCAAAAATGATATTAGATTCTAGAACTTTATGAAGAATTCTGTTTTGTGAGAAATAGATTCTTTACCCATACTAGATGGAGCCACTATGGAGTGAATATTGGAACAAAGAACATAGAAAAGATGATCAATTGGTAATTCAAAAGAAAAACTTCATTGAAATCAAACAGATTATTAAGATAAGTAGAAGTGAATGTTCAGAAGGTTTTTTCAAATGTGAAATGAATGAATATTGCATATCAAATATCTATTTATGTGATGGAAGTTCCATTCATCTTGGCAAATCTGATGAAAAATCTTGCTTGAATTTAAATATTCATTATTTTTAAATGCAATAATGGAAAGAAGTTTTTAAATTTTAAATTTTGTATTAGTTTGTAATCAATTTAGAGAATGGTTACCAAGTTTTTGGCGTCGTTCCAACTTTAGAACTTTTCCTGGCCAAGTATGAATCATAGGACATTGAATCAACTGGGATCAGGTTAAGTATTCCCATAATTACCCTAAATATCTAGTTTTGTGGTGTTTGCCCTATCCCTAACCCAACAATTAACAAAGTACATCCCATTTGTTTTTTTACATCTCAGCAAAAAAATGAATACAACACAAGTTCTGTTTTTAAAAACGGGGTCAGGACATTTCAGTCCATTCTAAGGCAGTCATACTAAAGGCATTATGTCTCACTTGAAGATAGGTTTAGTACTTATTAATTGATAAATATGACAAATATAATTTTTATTTTGTGAACAATTATGTTTATTTTTTTAATATAAAAAAAAGCAATTTACAAATAGTAAGGAGTGTTAAGTTTAATAACTAAAATACAGACCAAGAAATAACAAATTTTAACAGATATTTAAATCAACAAGTCTATTCAATAATTCATCCAAACTCAATTCTCTTTTTTCAAATTTACTCCACAACTGGAATATTTTAAATTCTAAATCTTTATACTTCTTCTTCTGTATTTTTCTCAACTTTTTTTCAGACAATAACTTTTCAAAGATCTCTACTAATTTGGCTTCTCTTCTCAATTCTTTTATTACAGAATAAAAGTTCTCATCCATTTTCAAATTTTTGTTGAGTCTGGAATGCCATGCCTCAACATGATTGTTTGTTCTCACAATTAATTGATAAACAGACCAGAATTGAGGAGGCCAAGTACTGCTTTTAATGAAATTGCATAAAAACATAGAAAATGTTCTTAAATCAAGAATGGATGTAAAGGAAATGGCAACTGGTGATAATGGAAAAACTGGTAAAAGAATAGCAGAAGATATTGTCCTTAAATTTAAAGAATTTAAAGAAAATTTTTTACAGAATATGAACAGTTTTTGTGTAGAAGTAAGTCTTTATTTTTTGTACTTCCACTTACAACTATTTTGAAATCATCTCTTTCTGTTTCTATGATGCTTATCCATCTCAAATGAAGTTTCATCACTTATATCAACTCTCTTTTCAACTTTTTTTCATTGTTTGGTGATTCAGGTGAATTGAAGTCAAAGGAAAGTCTTAACTGTTAAAATTTATGGTGAAATAATAATATTTTTTAACAAATGAAATTACCTGATTGGTATTTATTTCACTTGTATTATTCATTGATGATTCCATAATAACAGCAGTTTCATCATATTCTGGATGAATTTACTCTGATGATAATGATCTATTTTCTTTAATTTAATAAATAATTTCTGTTTGCTGACATCATGACAATCAGGACAATAATCTGCATCTTAATATATAGGTGATATAGCATTATACCTGAGAAAGTTAGAGAGTTTACTTACATTTTGAACACTTTACATGATAAAAATGTCTGTACAACTTTCATCTGAATTTTCTTTGTGTCCAATGAAATCTTAAGCCACACTTCCAACAGTTTTTCAAATTTATGTTGTAATTTCTATTAAAGCTTCTATGATAAATGAAGAACAGAAATATACCTTCTACTATTTGTCAAAACAGGAAAAGGAAATTGTAAAACAATGTAAAATATACTTCAGAAATAAGGAAAACTGGTATCCATTACTCTGAAAATATTTTGAATTTTATAATAATTATTTTACATATCTGGAATTACTATATTATATTACTTATTATATTTTTTATCAATTTTAAAATTGATTGCTTTTTATTATTTATTGTATTTAATTCATAATTAACTCAAAAAGTCATAAAATGGGCCGAAATGTCCTGGGCCGAAATGTCACTGCACCTTTAAAAAGATATGTTGCTTGGTTTATGGAGAAAAAAGAAAAATTCTCTTTCACTATGGACATTTTCTCCTCAGTTGTGGACGTTTTCTCCTGTGGACATTTTCTCTTGTGGACGTTTTCTCCTGCACCCATTTAAAAATATTGAACAGTCAATTGGCAAATGTTTCAAATTCAAAACTTGCTGACATTTATTGTATTTGCAAATAAGATAGCTTCTTCTATGATTGTTTATTAAATATTTAAAATACAATAACTGATGATAGAAAGTATTCAGTACTCATTCTTCTCATTTGACTCATTTTCTATGGAGAAGATCAAGGAAGAAGAGAGAGAATTTTTTTAAGTTTATTAATTTTCTTTAAATTTAAACTACCGCAAAACATTTCATCGGATTTGTCATCACAATCGTTACGTAAATCACAGACATTATTTAGTGAAATTTTTAATTTTCCATTAAAACACGTAAAGTAATTATAAACGCAATCGTTTTCATCATCTCCTAGCTTGAATGAATTGACAGGATATGACAGAAAATGTCCACAAATCAGTGCTTTTACCCTAACCCTAACCCAGCCCTTACCTGGACCTAACCTTTTCCATTAGCCCTAACCCTTAGAGGAGGCCCTCCTAAGTAGAAATCAGTTGCTGTTTTCTTCTGCCTAAGCCATTATTTTAAATGGAATTAGAAAAACTACTGTAAACTGGATAATTGGAGCAAGATGGATGATCTTACTGGACATGAAAAGATGTTCCATCTCTTAAACCTTCAATATATGAATTATATATTTGACAATTTTAATGTCAGATAAGCCTACTCTTTCATAATAATATGAATAAAAAATTTCTAGATAATAATTCAAATATCACAAGTAATTGTAATAAATATAAAAATACTTCTTGAGTAAATCATCTATTCATCTCATTGACTAATCTATATTGGCATTTTCATTTAATCCATCCTTTATAAAGAATATATAGATTTTTTCACATTTGCACTAACAATATCTGTTACATTTTCTTTTGCAGATACAGGTGATTTTATAGAGCTTCCTTTGCCCAAAAGAAATATTCTTGAAAAGAATTAAAATTATAAAATGAAAGAAATATTGGTATCCAACAAATAATGAATATTAATGTTACACCAAATAGCATAGATGTTGATTTAAATTTAATTTTAGCATCAGAGATTTTCTTTAGAGATTGATCACCTAAAGGTGCTCTCATTCTTCTTAAAACTATTTGAAATTTATGCTAATGTACAAAACCATTGCTATACCCAATGTTAGTTTGCAAAAAAGAAGATTCTTTAGAGAAAATTTTTCAACCACAGTAATACATGGAACCAGCACTGAACCTATAAATATATCAATGTAAACCTTAATAAAGTAATTGGATAAAGTTGATGTTTTTCCCTGGATGGGATACAGAAATACAGTTAATAGGTTTGAAGATAATCCTATCAAACAATATAAGCAAGAGATTGAAAGGAAAAAGATGTGATTCTTCCATGTCATCATGGAGTATAGTCACAGTTTTGCTGGAAACTTTATACACTAGGTTTTTCTTTAGTATGACAGCATTGTTCTAATTCTTTTCTATTTTTGAAAACATTACAGATTATATAGATTTAAGTATGAAAAAAAACTACATTGAATAATAGATAATCTATTATAAAGCAGTATTTTCTATCTTATTTAACTTTTAGGAAAATTGATCTAAAAATACATTAAAACAATTAAATCATTCTTTTAAATTGAGCAATCATTACATTAAATGTAATCATCCTTCAGGCTGTGTTATTTATCGATAACTATTCAAGTTTCTTTTTAACATTGACAAGTATACAGACAAAAAAAATGAAGTGGATCATTTATTTCGCTTTTCTTTCTCTTCTCCCTATTCAAGTAAATTTGAAATGTAAGTATTAATATTACATTTTTAATACAGAATTCTAATGCTAAATTTCAATTTTATCATTACAGCTATATCAGCAACAACATGTTCCGAAGTGGCAACTTCAATTATTAACTGGATTGAGCATGATATGTCTAATGTTATGTCTAAAAGATTATATGAAAGAACATTTGACAAAATTTCCAATAATCCTTCATTCGAAGTATTAAAAGATCGTGATAAACTTACAAAGACTGTTTGTATGATTTTAAATGCAAAATCAATGAGAGAATTGAGCAAAAAATTGTCTGAAACTATTTTTAAAGATATTATATCTGCCAGTGAAATTTCCTATTTAATTAGAAGAAAGTATAAATATTTGAAACCTTATCTGGAAGATGGTAAATTTCAGTTAGCATTTAAATATTTGAATGAATTATTGAAATATATTCGTGAAAATATCATCAATGAAAATGTGTCAAAAAAATCGGAATTTATAGAGAAATTTACTGAAATAATAAATGACATGTCTTTAAAATATGGTCGAAAATGGTGGAATGATAGAGAATCTTTGCGTTTAATAAATCATTTGTTTAGATCATTAAATTTATGGATGTCAGATGACAATTCTAAAGGAGCTGTTTCACAAGTTATAGGTATATATTAGTAATTTATTCAATTTTTGTCTTCTCATTCATTCCATTTCATTCAGCAAAATATTTTAATGTCACTGACACTTATAACTACAACTCATACAAATATCTCCTAATTGACTCTCTTAATTTATTAAGAACAAAATCAGAAGATGAAATTAACAAAATATTACAATCATACAAAACTGGTTTTGAAATTATTAAATTCTTCTATTTAAACAATGTATTTACTCTTCCAGTGTGCTCTTATGATAAAACTATTGATAAATTTGTAACCACTTTCATTAAACACAAAGAATTAATAAAGACACTAATTCCACTGTATAGTTATTCATTTTTTGTGAATGCTATATCAGAAATTGAAATTTTCAAGAATAACATGTGCTCTATACTTTATTCAAAAGATAAAATTGACTTTAATAATAATTTGGCAATGTATTTGGGAATTCCAAGATTGTATGTTGAAAGTGATGAAAGATTAATTTCGCCATTTCTTCATTCAGCTAGTTTCTTTTTAAATACTATAGAAATTTGTGAAAAATTATTTTCATTCATAAAGAAAACAAACATAATTTTAGAATGGCCAATCAAAATTCAAATTTTTGAAATTAAACAATTTCTAGACGATTTATTAAATAGTTATGGTGAAAACTGGTTAAAATATGTTGATGTTTTCAATCAATTGGTTTCTAATGATTTTAAAATGACTAAATCAAGGAATGATGAATTGGCTAAAAATTTTGTAAAAATTGACAATGATCATCAGTTACTCATCAGTTTAGGCTTGTCGGAGAATTCTAAATTGAGATATTTCATTGAAGAATTTCGACATTTTGTGCTTCATGAAAGAGCATCAGTGAATCTTGACAATATTATAAAACTAAGTAAAAATATCTGGAATATCTATAAAGATCTTGAAGAAATTGGTATAATTGAACTAATAAAAGCCCCTGACAAGAAGTGCGATGCGAGTAAACACGAAATTATTGGAAATGTATTGAAATTTTTTAATAAGAATAAATATATACTTTCCAAAACCTTATATCCAATTTTGGAAAAGAATATGCATACTAGGATATCTCATTACAATTTACCTATATGGATTTCAAAATTTTTGTGCATCTTGTTAGAATCTTCGGAAGAAAATTTTCAATCAAATTTTTTTGGCTATATTGGTTCTTTTCATTATTATTATTATGGAGGTTTCATTAATACTATTATTAAAATTGATACAGGAAAGCTGACTAATGATTTCAGTGAATCTATGGAAGTTTGGATTACAGTTTTAGAGGGATATGAAAAGTTTCATAAAATGAGAGCCAATGGAGAAAGGACGGAAGACATTATGTCTTTTGTTGAAAATCGATTGAGGAATATGACGAAATTATTTGGACCTTATTGGACAGCGAAATTAAATCCAAATGTTGATGGGAGATATGACCTCTATTACAGCTTTTCAGGTCATTACTCTTATAGAAAAGTCACCAGAGCCATTGTAGAGACTCACAGTATAGAAGAGTTTAATGATAAAATGAACTTTAGTTACCAAGCAACAAGAGAATCAAGCAAAATGATATTTGAAATTGTTGAAACTCTTGTCAAGAATAATTGGAGAAAAATAATACCTGTATTTAAAGAATTTCATAATCTTTTAATTCAGTTTATCCATACAAATGCCATGAGTATTATGATGAAAGTGTTTCATGTAAACCATTAAATAAACAAAATTGATATTTCATTAATATTTATCATTCCATACATACAGGGTTAAGATTGTTGAACTCTTTCTCATCTCACAATCTGAGACTTTAAAAGCCAAATCATCCATTCTCTTCTCTACCATTTGTGTATCTGAAAAAAGAATAAAAATTATTATTGAGGATGATCAATGTTCAAGGCTAAATCATAATCACTTGCTATCAGAGCTCTATGTCTATCATTGTCAGTATCATTAGTTATTAAAACAGAATGGCTGATGCTCTTACTCTTTAGCTTATTGATTCACACCAAACGGAGCAATCATTCCAGAAAATCAGATGTTTCTTTGACACAAAAGATAAGAGTTTTGAGATAAGAAGATGGGATTTGAGTTGTGGATGAAATGCTATTATAATTGTTATAGGAGAAAATTGACAAAGATAAGAAAAATTCAAAACAAAATATTAGCAAAGAATTTGGAAGAGTTGAACAAATTAGATATGCTTTATTGGCAAATTGATTGTCAGGGTTCAAGTACAAAAACACTGTCAGACTGCCATTCAACAAGACCATTAAAATCTTCCCAGGTGCCAGACACTTTTTATATGATAAGTGTTCATTTAATGTGTGTGAATGAACAGATGTTAGGTAGGTGGTTACCCTTCCCTTCAATCTCACACTCTCTTTTTCAACCATACTCTTTCACTCAACAGTTTGTCCTCTTGTTGAAAATTCAATTGTACAAACATCATATGTTATTATGGCTTTCATTTGAAATTCTTATACACTTTAAACAAGACAATAGATTTTTGTTGGCAAAGAAATCTAAGTAATTTTGCCCTTACAAGCACAGATGACCTCAATATTTTCTACAGTCTCTATCCCTCTATCAAATATCTTTAAAAGGATCAGTTGTGCATTCATTATGTTATAATATCATAGCCTAAGTTCATTTCCCTTCCTCTTTGATATCAATGAATAAAGAATCTCTAATTACTCTAAAAGATTTAAGATATATTAACTTTTCCCAGAATTTACTATCTTATATAGATTTTAACATTTTTAAAAATATGAGCAATTTAATACAATTCAATATAAGTTTTAATAGAATGAGGAAAATAAAAAATTTACAACATCCAAAATATTTTGGCCTAGTGACAAAAATCAACTGATTTACTAATAGAGTTCTTCCCTACTCTTTCCCTTCATATAGAGAATCATGGCTTAAATAATGGCATAATTATAAAAAAAACTTGAAAAAAGTATCCATATTGAATATTATAAACTCAAATGCAGCATTATGGTAATCTTCTAATAAAAGATTCCGTCTTTCATAAGAGTTGTTGACAGCTTTCAAGATCACAAAAATCATATTCCTAAGAATTCAATCTTTTCCTTCTAATTGGTAATGATATATATGATTAAAATAGCGCCATCATTTCAGTGAATGGAATTAATAGTAATTTGCATGTTATAATTGTTGGAAATATTTTTATAAATGCAAACAGAAGAGAAGATGGAAATTTATTGAATTCAACAACAAAGAAATGTACCATTAGTATCCAGCAGCCTAAAATTTCTAATGATTATATAAAGATTACTGATAATCCGTTTTGTTAATCTGTTGAAATTTGAAAATATTCCATCTTTTTTAACAAACAGTTAGGATATTTTTCAACAATGTTGGCACCTGACCCCATTATATCTATTTGCAACATAACTGTGAAATGACAGGAAAAAATTACGGGTTAGGTTGCAAGTGTTAGGTCTTAAGAGAACCTGTATTACAATACTATAACAATATCACCAATTAAATACACTAGGCATCTCCTACCATTGCATGGTTTCATACCTTCAAACTCTTGCTTCTCAATTTCAATCTTCTCATTGTCTTTTTGCCATGCCTCTTTGAACATTGATTTGATAGAACCCATATCTTTGTTCAAATTCCAAAGATCATTGAGTTGCCCCTTTGCTGTATCAATTTTTGAGCAATTTCTGAGATACCATAAGTTTTCTTAATTATTGTAATAAAACAAATTATGCAATAACAGGTACTCCATTTTGTTGAGGAACTATTTCCTGTTTTGATTTCATACAAAGCATTGCTTGTTTAAAATATTACCTGCAAAAGATATTTATCAAGTTTCATTACAAGCAAGACCAAAAAAAAATTAGGAGAGTTGAATACCTCTGGATAGACTTCTCAAATTTTCATCACTTCAAGGTAAGAATATCATTAACAAAAACATTTTTTAAATTTTACATATCTATTATCCCCAAACTTCTTTTCAAATACTCACCACAAAAGTTTCTTTTATACAAAAAATTACTGTGCACATCCAAGATTCTACATTGAATGATTTGATAAGGAAAGATGTTTTTAACACTAATATCTAAAATCAAAACCAATGATTGAAGCAAATAATGTTGTAACACTAAATTAATAAAATACCCAAATTTAACCAAAAATCAAAATGTCACTACATCAAAATCTACACATTTTTCTCATGTATCATTAAATTAAAAATCTAAATATAGATATTAATTAATAAACATCAACAATTTCGTGATTTAATTAAAATATATTGTGTTTATTGTTCATTTTTATAATTCCATAAAAGATAGGCCTATAAACATACTGTTCAGGATAGATGAAGAAAAATCATTAAACAATATAGAACATATGAATGTCAAATATCTTTTATACATTTTATTGGCACTTTTATATTATAAAAGAAATTATTCATGGGTTTTACCATCCTACTCTTCTTTTATTGTAAAAATTGGAAAAAAAAAAACAACCACACAAACCCACATCAATAATATTTAAATATTTAAATGGATAATTTTATTTTTCCAATTTTTTATTATTCAAATTATAATTAAAACTTGTTAAGGAAGAAGAATTCTCAAAATTAAAATGTAGATTTTCTGAAAAAGTATGCACTAATGATTTTTGTACAGGATTGGTAAAATGTTATATTCACAAGTATAGAAAATATTTTTTTGTGATACCCAATGGATTATTTGAGATAAGAGCTCTCTGCTCTAGAGTTAAATCTAAATTTATATTTGACAAACTGAGGGTTGATGTTCATAAACAAAACTTTCCAAAAAAAGAAACTATATATAGTATGACTTGTACAAATGATATATGCACTCTTCTCAAAGTAAAACATATTTCATCCTATAAGAATTCAGGGATAAAATGTTTTAAATCCAAATCGTTGTGTTTGTATTTGTAACAAAATATATATATGGAAATAATCTTTCATTTTATTCAGATTTTTGGTCCAACAATCCAAAAAATATGGGAATTGTCTACCAAAGGAAAGATAATAGAAATAGATATAAATGTCTATTGAAACAAAATCAAAAATCTTGTTCAAACATTTTGAAATTTAATTTTGAAAACAATGCCATTACATTTGGAAATTTTTCCAAAGATTCCATGAAATTCTGTTCAAATGATACTTGTTTAGAAGAAGAGAAAAACAATGGAATTGTATTTAGAAATTCAAAATATTTGAAATACAATTTAAATGTTGCCAAAGATTTATTTTTTATTGGAGAGTACTATCAAAATATATTTATTCCATTACTATTTGAATTTCATTCATTGGACGATAAAATTCAAACATTTAAATCAATCTGTAACAGTTTTCAAACAATGTTTGAATGGAAGATAACTGGAAATAATTCATTTGTTTTTCAAAGTTTTAGATATTGGGATATTTTCTACACAGAATATGAAACAAATGTTTACAGATGCTCAAATAACAGTCAGGAATGGAGTGATTGTCAAAAATTCAAAAGAAAATATAGCTATTATGACACTAAAATTTTTGCAATAAATTGTCATCATTACGTAATGCTCAAGAATCAAACTGCAAATAAATTAAAAATTCAATTTAGTTTAATTGGAAAAAATGAAACAATTTTTAAATATATTCATTCAAATTTAAAATTAACATCATTTACTGGAAGATTAAATGCTATTTTTAAAAATATAGGAATTGATGCAGCTATGTCACCAGGTTTGCATTCTTCAGTTTTCTGGATTACCAATCAACAAATATGTAAAAATCAATAGGGACAATCTTAGTTGACAGTTTACTAACTACATAGTGATGATTGGATGCTAGATGCAAACCTCAGGAAATCTAAGAAGATTGTCTGGAAACAAATTCAGAATTGTGAAATAACTGGTACACACATACATTCTTGTTTCTAAATCTGCACCCCATCCTAACCTGTACTTTGTTGTATTGTAATTGTAGGAAAAGAATTTTTCTCTCTTTTCAAGCCTATATATCAATAAATTGAAAACTATAACAACATAAACATTAAAAATAGCTTAAAATCATTTTTTGTAGGCTGTCAGGCAACACTACTATAATCGCTAGAAGGCGCTACCATAAAATTTTGCTTAATTGACAAAAAATTCAATGGTATTCTGTTAGTTGTTTATTGTTCAACAATTTTTCTATTTCTAAATCAGAGATTTGCCATACCCATGAACAACCATAGCACCAAAAACCTAATCCTAGCTCTGAAATCTAACTGATCATCTTGTCAATCAATTGAATTATTGTTGTGATATCTGACATCTGATAGTATTTGCCAGTTGTTGATACAAATTTGAATAGATCACAACTAAAAGAGCTGCTAGAGGCAATTGGAATTATTTGAGCAAAACTTTTAAATTTCTGTTATAAGCAAATAAAAAAAATGTGATTAGAATGAAAGATTATGTAAATGTCTTTTAACCTTAGCTTCATCAATTGCCTGATCACATATATCATTTGTTAAAATTAGAACTACTTTTTTACTTGACTTTGCTGCCTTATCCAAGACCTTAGTTTGGGCGAGACGAAGAGCTTTATGAACATTACAAACTCCTCCTCCTCCTCCTATATATTCAATACCCATTAGCTTTGTCACTATTGATGATGTTTCAAACAGTGAATGGAATACAAGGTCGGTTGTTTTACCATATCTGATGAGAGATAGGCTTATGCTATTCTTGTTAATTTTTAATAAATTTACAAGATTAACCAAAAAAGATTTCATCATTAAAAAATTTAATTGTCCTATTGAAGTAGAAGAGTCTATCATGAAAATTAATTCTGTTGTAGGAGTTGCTCTCCCAGTTTTTACAAAGTTTTTCACATATTTTTCTTTAAAAAAAAATTCTTTTTGTAAAGATTTATCATTTTTCAAATGTATTCTTATTTATCTCACCTGAGATATTAGATGTGATAATGGATTTTTCACTTCTCTGTTTTAAGTGGATAACATAGAATTTAAAATAATAAAAAAATTATCTACCTTACATAATATTCCTTTTGAATTGATCCAGAAGAATCCATATATAAATTTATTTCAGTTTCTGATGTTACTAGTGTTGTTAGTTGGCAGCTGCCATTCAAATTATAAACAAGAATGAATGTAACAAAGAGAATGTTTAAAAGAGAACACATATCTTATTGCAAAATATATAATATAATATTATCTCAGAGTGCAGCAATATCTTTTTTACTCAAGCAATCAATCAACTTCCACCAGAATCTTTGTTAATTTATTGATTTATTACAGACTTTACAAAATTTGAATAAATATTCAGAAAAATTTTTACATTTAGTCAACCAGCTGTTACTGTTTAGTACTCAACTACGAAATGAAATTCTTTTACAAATTATATAGTTTTAATCAAAATTCAATTTTCTGCATCTTGTTAACAATCTTTAAAAAAGAAATTTTCTGAGATAAAATGGTCATAATTTTTCTCCATAGTTAAAAATTCATATGCAAGAGTTAGGGGAAGAACAATCCATCAATATCTTTGGAGATAAAACCTTTTGATTATAACAGATGCCAAATCAGGCCTTTATGATGGATGAGGGCACAATGATCTCTTCCTTTTCTGCTATGTACTATTGAAATTGTTCAGTGCAATGACTCACCCTCACCCCTTTTTGGTCCTACTTGGACAAATTTATCAACATCAGCTATTTGAGCATTATGGTGTTGATATAACAATTCATACATTAGAACAAGCCTTTTGGCATCGAAAATTAAAGAGGAAAATTAAAGACCACATAAAGAATTGTGAATTTTATGAGCAATTAAGAGCACCAGGGAACACTTGTTGGTTGAAACACCTCATCCAACTCTACCAATGCAAAAGAATGGCTATGGACATAATGGGACCTTTGACTGGACATGATTCTTACAAATATATACTTGTCATTATAGATCACATGTCAAGATTTGCTAATCTATTCCCTCTAAAAACACAAACAGCATAAGAAATTTTCAAACATTTGTTTTTCAACTATTTTCCAATATTTGGTATTCCAGAAGTTCTTACAGATCAAGGAAGGAATTTTCTTGGGGAACAGAAATGGTATCATCAATGGGAATAAGAAAAATTAAAACAATAGCATTTCATAGCCAAAGCAATGGAATGGTAGACAGAAAGAATTTGCAAATTTGCAAAGCACTACATAAACATGTAGTTATGGAACAATTGACAGATTGAACAAGACAATTACCAATAATTCAAACATGCTTAAACCAAATTCCAGTTGGAAGCACTGGCAAAACCCCACATGAAATATTATTTGGATTAAAAAATAGTAACATTTTAGATCTATTAATGGAAATCCCAAGATTAGAACCAACAACAAATTTCCTACTTGATAGAAAGCATGAAATGGAAGAAATCAGAACTGCTGCACTTTGTAAATCTGCTTTGAAAAAGAAGGAATACAGAGATAGAGTTAATAAAACTGTACTTTGTTGTATTGTAATTGTAGGAATTTCGAGTTCGTTATGATTTAATTCGTCCTCACCAATCATTTACCAATAAGCCAAAGTACTGGTCCAAATAGAACCTTTCAAATTCGTCCACAAGTAGTCTTAACAAATGTAATTTCAGTAGAAATTAATCAACAAAATGCCAGTATTTCATTTAAAGGATATGTATTGAGTAAATGAGTTTCTAGTTCTAAATTAGCAAGTTTAAACAACCAGTTAACCGTTAAGAACTGAACTGCCAAACTGGGGAAATGTATTTCCTTTTATACATTTACCAAAGCTTGGATTCACTTGGTCAAAAGATTATGAAGTTGAAATGTAACAGTCTCACAATGCACATATAACAAAGACATGAAAAACTATTGCATCACTGCTGGCTAACATGTGGCACTGCAAAAACAAGCCTACCTCTTTGGCATCTGTTTTTGAATAAGATGTAATAATTTTGACATGCATTTTTTCTATATTGTTTGTTCCATTGTTAATTCTATAATGCAACATCTGTTTTGGTCAAAGAATATGTTTACTACGAAATAAAAGCCTTTTTAAAGTTCTAGGCTCTATTTCTACTAAATAAATGTCTTTCTAAACTTCCACCATTATAATTTCTATGAAATAAGACTTTTTCTAAACTTCCACCATTATAATTGCTACGAAATAAAAGCCTTTCTAAAGTTCTATAATATCTAAGTCTAAATATTATTATGTTGATGTTTCTAAGTGCACAATTGGTACAGACAAGATGTTACATAACAAACATGTTGACAACAACACCAAGTGTTTATTTACATAAATATGATGTAAGAATTGACCCTTGAGGGGTAACCTACACAAAGTTGTTGTTGTTTACATCACTATTGCATAATATGATAACCCTTGACCCTGTTTGTTGTGAACAATCCTTATCTGGGGTTAGACCCTTGTTGTTGACAGCCAAGGCATAAACAACTGATAAGGAATTGTATAAAAGCAGGGCGTAGGCAGTAACAGGCATTCAGTCCTGAATCAACTCCCTTAGTGAACAGGTCTAGTATTACTTTAGAATACAGTTATATTATTCTTACAGTTTGGTTCTATATTCATCCTTCATCAATTCTACATCTCTCTTCTAAGTGGCTTACTCCTGGTTCAGTTCTATTTGGACCAGTACTTACCTACAACCTCAGCAGGAAAGTACAATGATCATAATCCTTTTGTACAAATATTCTCCATCCATGGGTTGCTGAAAGAAAATGATGCATTAAAACAAGTGCCACTATTAACTGTGTTTATATCTTCAAAAAAGAAAAAAAGCATATGAACTATTGTTTCAAGTAAGATCAAAGTTTTTCTATAAGTCTTTCTAAAGTAATTCTTTAATTAATTACTCTTTGTAAATTTTTCAGACAGTTTGTGATTTAATAGATAATCATCAGCCAGGAAGATTTGTAATTGATTTTGAAAGGGCAATTTGGAAAGAAATTTTGACTGTTTGGAAAAATGCAGAAATAAAGTGGATGTTTATTTCATTTTTCTCAAGCTGTATTTAGAAAAATCAAGGTAGTGATTTTAATTAGAACTTTGAATGTTTTTATGTTGAAAAAACAATAGTTTAAAAAAAATCTATGCCAACATGTAGAAGAAAATTTATGAATTTTGGGATGAATATGAAAATGGTAATATTTGTGCTTTTTGCAAAAATGTTCAGCAAATTTATCATGTATACATCTGTCTGCCATCAATGTTTCTACTCTAAATAATTCCATTGCAATTTTTGTTAATTGAAGGAGAGGAAATGCTGAACTAAATTGTGAGTCATACTTTAAATGTCCAACTGAATGCAAATGCTCATTAAATAATAAAATTTTATTTTTAAGCAGTATCGTTTGAGTACAATCTTTTGAATGGAACAAAGATATTGATAAAAAATAGTTTTGATCTTGTATTAAGTTTAAATATCAAATCAAAAATTCCATTTGAAATGAAATATATTGAAGTATTCAAATCTACTAGTTTTCATATTTAAAATTGAATTTTTTTCTTTTATTAATGTAATACATTAATGTCATACATGTTTTTCATTACTACAATTATTATATAAATAGATACTGATGATGAATATCTAGAAGCAGAAGATACTTTTCAATTAGAAGCTGATTGGGAATCTTTTCTAGATATTTGATATTTAGGAAAGAAAAATTGAATTAGTTTTTTCCTAAATGAAACTTGAAATATAATATAAATAAAGAAATTTGAAGAATTATTAACCAAATATATATTATACAAGAAGATGTTGGATGGTAATAGACCAGCAGTTTCAAATGAATGTGGAAACCAACTGAGTAGATAAATTGTTGTAACACCAAACAACATTGATACTGTTCTAATATTTTTACTAAACGCTTTAAACTCTTTTGAAATATTTCTTTCGTCATTAGGTCTAATCATTTTTTTAAATTTGAAACTTCTCTTAATGATAACTTTATAGATTAGACCATAAATTAAGTACAATACTATCACAGTTCCTATATATAGGAAACAAATAACATATTTATGAACTTCGTGAATAATGCCACTTTTGTAAAAGCAATTTTCTAATATTCGACCATCATATCTTTTGCCAATTCTGATTTTATGAATTATAGCATTAAATGAACCAGATACTAATGCAAATGAGCCAATTAGCATAAACATAATTCTTATATGTTTTTCACTCAATTTTCTTAGTGGTCTGCAAATAGCAAACCATCTTTCAATAGCAATAAATACAAAGATAAATGATGATGTCACCAGAATAAAATTTTTGAAAAATATAGTTATCTTACAAATTGTATCATTTCTAATAAAACCCATTTCCAGGATAGTAGCGTAAGGACCACAAATTCCACATATTGATATATCAACTATTGCCATAGCTTTTATAAATATATCATTAGCATTAAAACTTTGTTTTTTGAAATTATAAAAACATAAAATTAGAAAATTTGAAGATACACCAATAACAAAAGTTAGAGAAATATAAACAAAAAATGGGTTAAAAAAGTCTAGATCGATTGTGTCTGTTGAAAATGTTATATTTTCCATTTTGTAGCCAACTGTAAAATAACAACAGCCCCCATCTTTATATATAACTTCTATTGATGTCATCTTTTCCATCATCAAATAACCTTGAACAGAGTGTTAATTGACTTTAATAAAAGAAAAGAGGAAAGAAAATTGATACTATTTGTTCTAGAGAAAACTTAATTAATCAGAACTTATTTGTGTACTTTGCAGGTAGATTTGCATTTATAAACATTCCATAATTGTTAGCTGCATTTTCAAAGATAATGCTAAACATACAAAACAAAGACATTAGTCCATGGCCTCATTGTAAACTAACAAGTTGTTAATTAATTAATTAATTGTTTGTCTAATTATTTCTTAATTGCCAATTAATTTATAAAATGTTGTTTACCATTTTGAAAAGTTCCTAATTTACTATATCAAATAGTGAACAATTTACAAATAACCTGTTATTGTTTTCCTCAAGTTTCTTATATTAATCAAATCCATGATGACTAAGTTGTCCAACCCTAACAATCCCAAACAGATCTAACTATTTCTCTAAAAATCAGCAAAAGAGGTCTGTATTAAATCAGGATTAGCTGATATGACACTAAAAATACACCATATTTTTTCACTTGGTGTTAGGAGTACAAGAGTTGGCTCCTTTATGTAACTACTACCAATTACATTATTGTTTCATTAAAATACTTTTTGAGTAAATAACATTCTGGAAATTATTTGTGCAAAATGAATTGGTGACAGTATGAACTAGAATTTTAGCTTGAAATGAAATCAAATAAACAGTGCTTTGGGAGTTTCTCAATTAAATGACACCATATTAAAGATTTAAAAATTACTAGATAAAAAAAGGGAATCAAACAATTCCAAGGTGTTATTCAATTCTTACTTTGACTTTCACAAGCAAGCAGCTCTAGGGGAGCTGAGGCATCATTTCACCCTTGTATTCCTTTGACCATTTGAACCCAAGCTTTGGTAAATGTATATAAGGAATTGCATATCCAAAGCTTGTCAGTCTCTAATCTTTAAAAGTATACTAAACTATACTATTAGATTGGAAACTCAATTACTGAATACATATTCTAGTGGCAAAACTCTCGACTATTTTTTTATAAATTGGTATTAATTTAAAATTAAATTTATTCTAATAGGTTAGTATTTTGTGGACAAACTTGAAAGGTTCTATTTGTTTGAGCACTTTGGCAAATTAGTAAATGATTGGAAAGAGCAATTACTGTTGTGAAGAGCCAGAAATCCCTACAATTACAATACAACAAAGTACAAAGTATTCCGTTAATTGGTGGGGCAGACAATTCATTTTGAGATTTATGAACAATTCATAATATTTGAACATATTTTCAGTTAATTATTCTTTGCCAAATATAAATGATTTTTATATTTTACAACAAAGACAATTTTTTATATTATACTTTTTTAAATAATTGATCAATAGCTACTCTCTAGAATTTTTAGCTTAAAATATGTAACATAACCAAGTTTCCAATTGTCAGTGTTGAAAATGGTAATGGTGGTAATTGTAATTGTGCACTTAGATATAAGGGTACATTAGAAAAGACTTCTATTTTATAGGAATTAGACTGGTGCAACTATAGAAATACTTATATTTCGTAGGAATTATAGTGGTGGAACTTTAGAAAGACTTTTATTTCGTAGAGTTAGCTTTTAGTACTTTAGAAAGAACTCTATTTTGTAAGAAATAGACTCTTTGACTGTAACAGATGGTGGCTACTTGGGGAATTAACAAAGGAACAAAGAACATGGAAAAGATGCAGGTCAAACACCAGATGCTGATGAGACAGGCCTGTT